AAAGTGTTTATGGTGTTTAAATGTTAATCCCATGTTTTGTTGCTGCTTTAAGACAGATCTCATTCATTTTATTGAGAAAGTATCTTTCAAATCAAAGTTTACAAAGTTGTTTTTAAAGAAGTTTGGACTTTATCACGTGATTTTTTGTCTAAAGAGGTGGTCTTTATTCTCTTAGCCACGTTATAGTCTTCCCTTAGATTGCCTCTCTCATCCTCTACGAACACACACGCTCGGCTCAGTGACGGGCCTCCCCACGCACAGGCTGTCCGCGTCCCAGTGCCAGTGCCCGACCTGCCCGTGGCAGGAACATGCTGAGCCCCTGACCTGGCGCCACGCCCACGAAGGCCTGGGAGGTGGCAGTTGCTTTCCTTGGATCCCTTCCATCCTGGGAGGACGGCCACTTGTTCTGTCCGGAGCACACGAGCCTCTGCATGGGAATGCCCTTCCCCTGGGTCACGCCGTTGCCAGCGCCGTCACCCCAGCAGCGCCTCTGCTCGGGGAACCTTTCCACAGCAGGCCTGTGCCGAGGACGCCCGCCCACTCACGTCCCTGGTGCCGCTCAGAAGCGGCTGGCCTGACAAAGCGGAGACATGGCCCTCGGAGGACTCGGGTATGCCCTAATTAGCACCAATACCCAGAAGATGATCTAGGACTTGAATCAGGATCTGACGCGTGGCGCCGATTTTTCCAAAGCCAGCGCACGGCTTCCAGGAACGAAGGCTGGAAGAGGGGGTGGCTCCTCGTGTTACACCATTACCCAGCCACAGAGGTTGGGCCCTCCATCCCTTTTTCTCTCTGCTCATTTGGAGATGTTGGTTCTCAAACGAGGGATGCTCCAGCAGGTGACAGACAGTGGCTTCAGGACACTGAAAACTGAGATTGCCACTGGCCATGTTGAACTTTTCATGCCCTTGAACCTGCCATAGATGACCCTAGACATGCAGCTTGTGCTCTCTCTATATAAAATTGATTTCAGAGAGGAAGGGAGAGGGAGAGAGAGAAACATCAATGATGAGTCATGGATCGGGTGCCTCCTGCACGCCCCCTGCTGGGAATTGAGCCGGAAACCGCCCCGATCGGGAATCAGACCGTAATCTCCTGGATCCCAGGTCGATGCTGAACTGCTGAGCCACACCAGCCGGGCTGCAGCTTGTATTCTTGTGTAAATTTTAGTGTTGGTCTCCTGTTATGTCTTAACATTTTATTTTCTTCCATTTTTAAATTTTTTTTTAGTTTCTCACCCAGAATTATGCCTCCTGTTCCTTATTTCAACAGCTTTCTCTGATATCTGCTCCCTAAGGTTTTTTCTGTTAATCATTCATTATCTTTATGTTTATCTTTATTTCTTTTTCTTATCCTCTGGTTCATTTAAATGAACATTTTTACCTTCTCTGGTCGAGAATATAATTTATACTATTTCTCGTTTTATAGCATTTAAGAATATCCATTTTTATCAAATTCAGATTTTCATTTACAAAGTGTTAGTCTTGTTATTGCTTTTTAAATTTTTAGTGAGATTGAATATTGTCATGATTACCGGGTCTCTATTTTTTCTCTTGAAAAGTGTTGGTTATTTGCCCATTTTTAAGATGAGATTTTTTTCTTTTGCTCACTGTTTACCTTTTAAAAAAACATGGAAGGATATTGATTTGGACATATCTTGTATGTTGAAGTGGTTTTTCCCTTAGTCTTCCTTTGATTTGGGTTTTTACCTACCTACATTTTAAGCTTTATACTGCCGTTTAATGTACTCTTTCCTCACTTTGTTTTGCTTGAATTTTCCCCCAGATAATCAGTTATTCCAAGTCTGCTTACAGAACAAATCTCCCCCAGTGGTTGGGAATTATGTCTTTACCCTATGCTGATGTGCACCTTGTGTTATGTGTACAATTTTGATTGTCGAGGATCTGTTGTTGGGCTTTTCAAGTTTTGGATGTCTTCTAGGTATCTTAAAAGAAGAGCATTTTTCTGGTTGTAGAATTATCCGCAAGTTGAATTTGGAGCACGGTTTCCTCATGAAACCATAATGCCGGTGGGTTGAGGGCTCAGAGTTTGGCGAGAGTGAGGAAACTGAGAGCGTGACGTTTTATGCAATTACTTGTATCTTCAGGGTCTTCTCAGATGCTTTCTCACGTCTCGGGGGTGGTGGGATGTTGTGGTTTGCTGGGCTTTACAGGCAACGCTAAATCCTGATAGGTGGCATAATTGCCTGGTGTCCCACATTTATTTAACCTCTACCAGCCGGCAGTGGCAAATGGTTTCTTAAAGTAGATGAGTCACTTGCCACTGAAGGCAAGACTTTCCTACAGAAGTCTAGCGATGCTTATAGTGCTTCTCCCAGGAAGATGTGTTCAGCAGGTCCCACAGGGGATCCTGAACTTAACAAGCGACGTCACCATTGGACCTGTATGGTTCTGAGTGTTGATGGGCAGAGCTATTTCCTTCATGGCCTGGACCAGATCAAAGGTCTTTTTTCCCCCTCTGGTTTACACTCAAACCTGGAAAACTTTCAGGTTCCTTAATACATGAAGCAGAGGAGCACACTAGGCTGTGGCAAGCATTGTTTCCAAAATCCAAATGGGCCCATGAAACCTGGGACCATTGGTTAGTGTGAGGAAGGGTGAGGTGCGACACATTTCTTCACCTTGGATGGAATTTTCTAGCACACATCAGGCACTGATTCAATTTTCCTTTCTTGAATTTTGCCAAATGGAATCTGGCCATATGTCTGTCCTTGTGTCTTCAATCAATCAAGTGCTAATTACGGCTTTAAGGGCCATCCATAACCCTGTCAACAGCTTTAGGATAGCCTTTTACTTATATATTCTACTCTCAATGGTCAAGTGTGTTCTTTCCAATTACAGGTCATTACAATGCTTCTAAGAACATCATTATATGGTAGATACAGGAGGGTTGATGGGCTCTATGGTCTTGCTCTTCACTTCTGACTATAAAGGAAAAAATATTCAATGTGTCATAATTGAGTATGGGGTTTGCCACATAGTTTTGAAAATACCCATTACCCAGGTAAGGAAGGACATTTCTATTCCTAGTTTTCGGAGAGTTTCTAGTCATGAATGGCTGTTGGATTTCACCAACATCTTTCTATCACCTACTGAGCTGCATGCATGCTTTCTCTTCTACTCTGTCAGTGTTGTAGTGGAAACATGCGGTCCATATCCAGTGGGCCGCGGCTCTTCGGTGTGTTCAACCTTTCCACTGCCGACACCTGCAGCTCTTTCCCCAAAGGCGGTCTTGGAAGTTGCACAAGGCTCTTCTGCTCATGCCCAAGGCAGGCTTCAAGTGCCTGGAAGTGAACCTTCCTTCCTTCCTCCTCCCCACAGGGCCGGCCACCTTCAACCAGCGACTGGCAGGAGTTGGTATTTAAATACTCCAGGTTCTCCTTTGGATGGGACACGTCTGAGGCCTGTGTTTTATACCATTTGCTTAGCTTCCCCGCGGGCTGGAACTCAGGTGGCCCACGCTGACGGCTGGCTTGGCAACACCGTCTTCTTTTCTCCGTCTTACCCCCCCTCCTCTACTCGCGGTTCTGGAACCTCCCATATAAATCCACCTCACTCGAATCCTGGCCCCACTGTCTGCGTTGGGGCCACTGTCTGCAATTTAAGACCACTGAGAACCTCATTGTCGGTTTTTTCCAATCTGGCGTTCCTGAAGTAAAACACGATTATTCCATGTGGCGTATTATACATTGATGGCCTTGTTCGGTTACTCTAGAGGATTTTTGCACCTATATTCATGAGTTAGGTGAGCCTGTAATTGCCCTTTCTCACTGCCACTGTGGGGTGTGCGAGCAACGCAGTGCTAGTCTCGTAGAACCAGTCGGAGAGCGGGCCAGTTGCTGTTCACTGGAATGGCCTGTGAAAGGCTGGGGCTGTCACTTCCTTGCGTGTGTAGAGGGATGCTTGAAGCCGTCACGGCCCAATATTTTTTAGAGTTTGATTTTCCATCCTGTAGAGTGTATGCATATTCTGAAGCCTCCAGGGCGCCGTTTCACCCCGACCTCCAGACCCTATCGGGTGATGCCGTCATTAGGAGGCCTGAGGGGCTAGTGGGGAGGACTACCTGGTGATTCAGGCCCGGAGGAAGGTCAAAGGAGCGTTGAGGCAATTAATCTAATCATTTTCGGAATCAATGAATGTGCAGGGCCATCTCCAGAAAACAGATACACATCTACAGAAATACAGACATGGTTTCAGTGGGCTCACGGGCTTCACCATGCTCACTTACTAACTCAGGTTGAGAGCCCTGGTTTTAGAAGATATTTTATCACCTGCTTTATCCTCAAGTGTTTTCATCAGCTTGTTTCATTTGTAAGTCATTTGTAAGTCGTTAAGAAAGAGCCAAAGATTCTGACGTGGATTTAGGCAAGCAATTCAACTTTTTATGATTTCATCTTTTAAAAAGACATTACTTAACCTTGGAAATCAAGGTCGAGAAAATCAGATACCTTATTTATTCTATCTTTATTTGCTTCTATAGTCCTAGTTACATACAAAGTAATAGTCCCAGAGGGATGCAATATAAGGTGAAAATGACTGGAGGGTCTCCTTAATTTGTTATAGCTTCTATGCCATGTTTTTTTTTTCCTCAAAAAGGCCAATGGGTCAGATTTTTGGTAGCATAGTGACAAAGACGTCTTATTTTGGACACTGACACAACGAGTCCACTGAGAGTTTGCCCCCAGCTAGCACATGCCCCTTATTATAAGGGAGCATGGTCAACATCATTGGTACAGACACAGATCTGTCTTGCCTTAGAGCTGACCAATCTAAGGGCCTGATCTTTGGATAAACGTGAATTATGTGGTGGATTTTCCTGGACTGACTGAATTTGAATCAGTCTACTAATTTATGCTTGAATGTATAAGATCTTTAAAGTCCGGATAGACTTAACACATAATATTTATCTTACCATTATTTTATGCATTTTAAGTATTAAACTTTGAAAGAAAATAAATATCTAAGTTAATAAAATAGTGCAATCAAATCCTTTATTTATTTTTCTCATTAGACTGAAATAATAAACCAAATGACCAAGAAAAATGTCAATCAAAGGTTTAGCATGAAACATTAATTCTCAGAAGATAATGTCAAGAATATTATGAAAATATGCACATTGCCTGTAATTGAATTGCAGAAAATCAAATGCATTTACCTTCGAAAAGCAGAGGTATTCATTGCCTTCAAGCTTCCGCTTAAGACCTTAGGCTGGGAGCTGAGGGTCTTCTGGTTTTGTTAGGAAAGGAAAATGGAGCATCTCTCTGGAAGGGAAACTTAGGTCATTCCTGTCTCAACCCGCATCCATTCCACAGCGGATGTGGACCGTGCAAACAGTTCTGCCCACTAGGGTAGAAAACAGGTTCTCAACAAAACAGTCTAAATGACCATAAAACCAAAAATAAGCCCGGAGCATTAAAAATTATAATCCACTTAACAAGCAAACACCGAACACAAGATCTTCAATCAGAAATTTGTCGTCCTTTGCATATCTATTGAGCCAACGACCACATTTTAACTTTTAATGAGGAGACATTAAGATGTCATCAGGAGCAAAGAACAGAATGACAAAGCTACAGAAATTCACAAAGCTCGAAGGAAGCACACTTTTAGCCTCAGCAAGAAGTGCTCTTCCGTGAAGTCAGGGAATCCCGGTGACCCCTCTATTTTCTCCATTCACCTCCAAGGCAAACTTTCCAGGAGCAACATTGCTTTTCGACAGTAACAATGGTGATTATAATAGCGGACAGCTGTCAAAACCAGAGTGTACATTCTTGAGTCAAGAGACCCTTGGACCTCAATAAACACCATATATTAAAGAAACATAGCAAGTTCCAACAAGCATACACACAACAAAATCAATTCATTTATCAGAGACTGATACAATTCTGAATATGCATTTTCCAGAAGGAAGCAGAGGCCAACTGAGGCCGCCTGCAGGTGTCAAACCTGTGGAAGTGAAACAAGGCATTACAGGGTCCACACAATCTAAGGATCATGTGAGAAACAAACGCTTTATCAAAAAGAGTTGGTCGATGACCCAACATATAGATATTTCTATGCATATATTTATATATATAATGATAAAAACCAGCTTGCATGAAGGTCATAGTCTATCTATTTTGAAGTTATAGCACACATACTAGAAGCAATGTACAGAATCGGTCAGGTTTGCATATACAGCAGTTGCAAAATGAATTAAAATACATTGAAATAGAGAACACTCAAAATGTATTTATATAAACCTCCCAGGATGGACAGGGATTGGCCGCAATCAGTAACTTGCCACCATCATCGAACAAGAACTGTAATGAAGAAAAAGGGGGAAAAATCCAAGAAAAAAGGGAAAATTAAGAAGAATTCTTTCTTGTATTATTTCTTATCGAAAATAAGGTTCTCCTTGCCTCGCAGCGTCGATGACTTTGCTCCTGCCCCCCCACCACGGGGGTGCCGCTTGATGACAGTTTATGCTCTGTAGTCTTTTGATCTGTTTGCTTCCTGCAGATAACGGGTCTTTTAGTAGGAAATGGTGGTTTCTGTAGTAAATATTTACTATCCCGGTGACATTCAGGCCAACCCCTGAGCGGTCGGGCAGTGAGATGATGCTTTAAGTCGCCGGAAGGAAAGGGGGGAAAAATAGATCCTGCTATTAGAAGATGTCCTATCACTTCTCACTAATTCTCTTGAAATGAAAGACCAGTGATTTGCCCAAGAAAACAGTATGAACAAAGCGTGTGAGAGCCTCTTCGTGTACGCTCCGGAAGCAGGTGCTCCTGGTCTAGGAAATTAGCCTATTGTGGGTGCGGAGTGGTGCTTGGAGTTTAGGGTCAACTTTGCTGTCCGCTCCGTAGAGTTTACAGGCGATTTGCTCTTTGCTTTAAGAAGAGAAAGTGATATTGGAAAAAAGTCAGCACTTTAGACTAAAGCAAAGCACCCTTCACAAAGCCACAAACAAGAAGCAGGACAGAAAGTCCATGGCTTGTAGCTATCCTGGCACCTGCGGAAGAAGTTATAAGATATTCGCTCATCTTGAAGATTTCCAACGCTCCTTATTAGGCTGTTTTAAACACATACACATATATATTTAATTAGCTGGCCAGCTTGGCTCTGGTGCTCATGAGTGTCTTGGCATGCACTGCAAATGACAACACATACAAAGCAGTTCAGTCCCGGGAAGTGGGTCGGGCTGGTGTGTTTTCAAACAATGCCACTCCACAGTGGGGGACAGCGAGAGGAGCGAGCCCCAAACACCTTCCCCCGTCGCTCCGTGCAGGTCGTTCCCTACCGTCAGGGGCGGGACCTAGAGACACAGCCTGCGTCACTGTCACTGCCGCCTGAGCCTGAGCGGAAGGGGGCACAGCCCAGGCCCAGCCGGGCCTCCAGGGCAGGGCCTGCGGTCTGGGTCGGCTGCGTGTGGCCGTTCTCCTCCAGGGGACCGTCCTTCTCAGGGTTTACCCTTGAACTCTGAGGACAAGCTAGTGCTCTCAGGAACTGACAATTTTTGGAAGAGCTTGGAGACTGTGTAAGGGGGAGAATTCAATTGTATTTTTGCAAGTTTTCTTCATATGTTTTATCTAATAAGCTTCTAGTTACATAATGTGTGAACTTCCTTGATCAGCAGGGAAACAAGAATATAATCAGGCTCAAAGCATTTTTTCTTTCTTTCTTTCCTTTAATTGGAGAAGCTTAAAAGGGTTTGAAGGGGGTAAGGGTGGAGAAATCCAACCTTGCGGGTATTTCAGCTAAATCACGTTAGGCCCACAGTGTCACCGAAAACAATCGAGGCAAAAACTTGTACCGTCAACACGTCACTGTGGCGGGAATGTTTGGGGCTCGGTTCTCCAATGATCACCTGGTGGCCCCGCCTTGCCGTGTTTCTGTTAGGGTTCTTTAGAGCTGTCACTGATTCATTTGGTAGGTGGGCCATACGTTAAACACAGTGTGTCCCCACAGAAACCTAAGGACCGAAGACCCAGAGGTTAGCGATGGGCCTCGGGAGAGTGATCTTTCTCTCCAGCTGGGCACTAAGGTTCAAAACTGTGACAGTGACAGCACAGTAAACGTGCAGCTCTAAGAGCAAAGGCCGTGCAAGGGAAACACGCTCCATCTACGCAGAACCCAGCACCGAGCTTCCAAAGCTAACCAGCGTTCTCGCTGTCCTTCGAGGGGAGATTCTTGCCCAGGGATTCATCTTTCGAAAAACCCCGAAAGGGAATGATTGATCACAAGGCTCCCTAGGTAGCCAATGGCACGGATGCAACGTCTGATATTGAACAAGAGTTTGAAAATGCCAAGACCAAGAAAACTAAGTAACATGGTTCACCCTTCAGAAAAGGTATTCTGTGAAACCATGGTTCCCTTTCAGCGTGGGCATTGCAAACCGGCTCAAAGGCACCGAAACTGTGTGGTCATCTCCCCTTTCTAAGGCAGTCAACCCATCAGAGGAAACCCCTCACCCATCATCCCTGTGGGATATACAGGGAACATCATATCTTATATAACGTTCATTATAACATTTCCTACCACCCTATGTCCAGCATGTGCAAGTTAAAACAAAATTCATGTGAGCAGTGTTATTGCAAAGGAGTCTAATAATTACACAGAAAAGAATACATGTTTTTACTGTTCATGTTCTTTTTTTTAAAAAAATTTATCTTTGTTGTTAAAAGTATTACAGATGTCCCCTTTTCCCCCCATTGATCCTCCCTCCCCCCAGGCCTTCCCCACATTATTGTCTGTGTCCGTGGGTTATGCACAGATGCACGTAAATTCTTTGGTTAATCTCTTCCTACCCACCCCCTTCCCTCTGAGATTCATCAGTCTGTTCCATGCATCTATGTTTTAAGGCTCCTCAAACTCTGACCTGCTGTATTATAGCCAATATACCATCGTAACATAGTATTCTCCTCCCCCCCACCCCCAAATTATTCATCCACTCCAGGCATATCCATTTCCTGGCATATTTTTAATTAAGTGACATTTATTTCCATCAGGCCAATTACAAAATTTTCCTTTCCTGCACAGTAAATTAGAAAGCAAATCACTGATTGTTTGTCTCTTCTTTCTGTATTTTATTTATGCCTTGAATGAAGAGGTGTGTACTTTATCTTTGTAATCCCAAACACGTAGACAGTGAAATTCTAGAATCTAAAATGCTATAATTTGTCCTGTGAACGCGTCTCAAATAGTCGTCATAGTCAATTTCATTCAGAGGTTCACTATCCTGGACATAACATTATTAACTCTTCTGAGTACAAACCTTGTTTATCAGACACACTATGGTCTGTTCTATAGACAGTTATTATTATTATTTTTTTTGTAAAAAGCAAACTTTGGCCCCTCATCCTGCTCTATTCTGTCACAGGTAGAAACGTTTTACTTTTGTGAACAAACAAGAGCCAGGATTGTAGTCAGGAGCCGTGGGTTCCAATGGTCTCGCTCCACTCACCTCTAAGAGCCCAAATAAGGTACTTAGTTCTTCCATGTTTTCTAAAGTGAGCAGAATAACTATTCATGTATTTTCTTCCTATTAGTATGCCAGACAGTGTGTTGGAATAGGCCCTTCCCTTCCCTTCCCTTCCCTTCCCTTCCCTTCCCTTCCCTTCCCTTCCCTTCCCTTCCCTTCC